TGTTCATTTTCTTTGAGTTCTGAATAATTGATAAGGTTTCATCCACTTGCTTCTGTGCACTCAGGCTCCAGGTTGGAGTATCGTATTGACTGTCATAGTTTCACATTGCATTTCTTTGATAGTACCAACTTAAAGAGTTCCTGTCGCTCTCAGGCTGGAGTTGGCAGTGAGCATCATCAGTTGTGTTGGCACGACTGTCTCTGGATTTGTGTTAGAAACAGGATTATTTCATTTTGTAAACTATAGTTTATTGTTAGTGGAGTTGAGGGTCAACCTGCTGCCAATTGGGAGCTGGCATGAGTTGTCAGAGGTATATGCAAAGTCCTTAAGCTAGCACAGCTGCTGAAAATAATATTATATGGAGCTACTGCCTAACTTATCAGTTAAAATTATTTCTAAGAGCCCATCCATTTTCTTTCTGTGTTTAAAGAACTAGATTTGTGCAAGTCACCTTGCATTGGATCATTTTTGTTCTTTCTGTCCCTCTGTTTGCAGTTTAACATGAATCATGTGCTTCTTCACTCCGTCTTGCTAATACATGAAGTACAACATTTTCCACTTCCTCATTTGCACTTTTCCTGTACACCTTTCTTCTTGTCAGACAGAAACTGTTCTCACTTGGACACATTCACAAACTGCTGCTATATCAATCCTCCTCTGGTGACTTTTGTTTTTAATGCTTTTCTTGTCAAGTCGATTAGGAGGAAGCTCATCCACAAGGCCAAATAAGCAGGTTAAAAATTAAATTAAGAAAAGAAAAAGTATTTTAAGGGAAAGAAAGACTATAGTTTGGTCAGTGATTGATGATTATTTCAGGGGAATGTATTGAGTCTTGCCATTTCCTGTTAGCCTAAGGAAAAGAAGTGATCTAGTCAGATATAAAAAAAAAAAAAAATGCAGACCCATTCGTTGTCCTGCTTTTCTCTTATGATTATACATTTAACTGTTATTTTTGTCCATGCTAGTTCATAATTTTTACTTTGTTATAAGAATAGAAAAAGGACTGGATTTTTTTGAGCATCAGTGTTTTAATTCCTTCAATCCTTTGTTGTTTCTCCTCTCCATCTGCCAAATGAAAACAGGATAAAGGCTTTTTAGAGATATGTTCTTTTGTACTTTCTCCATGGTAGACAGTAGTAGCAGGGTTGTAAATATCTGTATTGCAAAATGCAGAGGATGTATTGCTGTGGCGCATGCTTTTCACTAATCAGCTTGTTTCCACAAATTTCTGGGCTTTTTTGTTTGTTTCTGGTTTTCTAAAATGAAGATGCTCAGTGAAGCAACAGATGGACTTTAGTTTCCGTTACTGTTTTGTGATACGATTTCTTAGATTTTCCTGAATGTCTAGATTTTTTTAGAGTTTTCTTTTATAGATTCAGCAACACAGTGTTTCTGGAAGAGAATCTTTAAGATATGATAGTAAATAGTTCTAGGGCTTATAGGCAACCTGTATTTAAAAAAACCCCACATCCCAATGTCCATGTAGCGAATTTCAGTGTTTTAGTTTGTCAGCTAGCAGTGAATGAAACCACATTTTGTTGGTCATATAATGTACTGTTGTTACATTTTTTTAGGTTCATTTAATGTTTTTTTATATCTGTTTAATAGTGTAATAAAGGCTTTTAGAAGTAAGATAATTTCTTTATGGCTAACAGACTGCAAAATTACATTAATGTCAGTCACTGCACTAGCAATCTCTCTTTGCTCAAATACTGTGGATTTCTTTAGCCATGCTGATTAGCACATTCTAGTTGCAATGGCTGGTCTCTCTTCAACTCACGGGTGCTTTTATTTCCAGCTCTTCAGAGTCCCATGAAAAACATTTGCCAAAATGTTGCTGTTATTTGCTTAAGCTACGTGATTCTTTCTTTATTGGTGTGCGTGTGTGTATGCAAGGCAGTTTTTTTAATTGATCTGCAGAAGGAGGTCTGCCTTCATAGTCTGAATGTCTGGAATAGAGTCAAGAAAAGTTGGAAAGGGAGACTTCTCAGCACCATTACCAGGAAATTAAATACTTTGTGAACTGCAGTCTTTTTTCTTTAGCAATGTCTTCCTTAATTTCTTAGATTATTAATTTGATTCTTCAGAGCAAGGAAGAGATTTTCATCAGTTGAAAACTTTTTCCTAATTGCAATTGTTATCCCAATGGGTTGGGAAAATAGTTATCTGAGTGAATTTTTATGTTTTGTAATAATTTCTTGAGCACTGGTTTTATTCTTAGGGTCTTTTCCCCCCCCTGCTCTTATCTTTACCAACCCATCTGTGGCTCAGTAGTGAGTTTTGTATAAGAATGGCAAGAACTGTAAATAAAATTTTTGATTGGATATTAATGTACTGTTCTCTTTTCTCCTACCACACAACTTGCAAGTGTTTTTTGTCCACTCTCTTTCTCTTTGTTATGTTTATGATCACAAATAGGTAAGCAGCATTTACGTCTAAAATTGGGCGTCTGGTGATAATGAATCTTACCTAGAATCTGCTTCTCAGTGCAATCCAATTAGATTTGTTTTCAGGCAGTTCGTTCCTCTTCCTTCAATTTATAATGTTACTGTTTCAAAATTTTTTGAATGTACGTTCTCTAGTTGTATGTCTTAGTCTCACAGAGTCATATATAGCAGTCTCCACTATTTAAACATATATTGGACAGTTTATTCTTTTGGGGCTGAATTAGAAAGAAAAGTGAAAATATGTTAGTTGTTAAAAATAGATATGACTGCTATTGATAGGTTTTTTTCTTTATTTCCTTTCACCAGTTTTCTTTTATGAAAGATGAAGTCCTCTGAGGGATGCATCTTGTTTTGGGAAATAAATGAAAGACCGTTAAGCAGAATCCATACTGTGGATTTCATTAGTTTCAAAATACTAGTTGTACTCACACTAATGATGCCATTAATTTCACTAGCCTTTGAATTTGCTGAGCTGTTTGTAGTCTGTTTTTTCACTAATTCACAGATTAAACATGCTGTTTTAACAGGAACATGCTCACAGAGGAGGAGCTGTGTTAGTGTTTTGATATGTTATGCAGTCATAGTAATGGATACTGCTGAATTTAGTCAGGGGTTAATGTGGGGTTCACTGTTTGACACAGATTACTGTATCAGGTATAAGCTTTCAGTTTAGACAGGAAAGACTGCTGTGACTGTAAGGTATGAGCCAGGGGTGAACCACCTCAGTGGTACCTGCCTGGATGAACGGGTGATTTTAAAACTTGCTCAGAAAGACAGGAACTGTCCTCATTCCAGTGGGTGCTATCTGTGAATATAAATATTCAGAGAGCAACTTTCCTGTCTTCTCATTGAGTTGATCATTTTAGCAAAAGCCATCTTAGCTTGTTTATAAAGCACTTTCAAATGTTCTCTTAAAAACCTTAGAAGCTAATCTCCACTTGCCAGATTTCCAGTTTTCCTTGGCAGAACCTGCCCAATTTTCTTCTCAGCCAATAAAAAAACCCCTTAGTAAATTGAAATTGGGAGGGAAGAGGATTTCATGTAGACATGAATAACTTTTAATACTGAATGAAGAAGCTGGAGTCTCTGCCTGTTGCAGTGATGAACCCTGCTACATACTCTGGATCCAGATTCCTGTATGCTGTGTTATGTCTTGACATTTCTATGAACTTGTCAATGGATCTGTTGTGAATACTCATGACAGAGAATCCTGTGGATAAAGAATACTGTTTACTCCATGGCAATAAGCAGACAGACAGACATCTTCTGTTGGATACCTTATCTTTTATTGCAGTAAGGAGGCTGTATAATGTTCTCAGTGCTCTTCTCTACTTTGTATGAGTGGTTGTTGGCATGAGATTATAAAAATGTGAAATTTGTGATTGGTCTTTTGGTTAATGTGACATGTATAGACTTTTGAACAAGTGATCAAAGGGATACCAGAATATTTTAGAATTGGGAGCTTATCAGCTTGCCCAAAGGAAGAAACAAATACAAATATAAAATTTAATAAATATTACAAAGCTGCCAATAATAAATCATAAAAGTACTAATAAATATATTTTTAAGCTTACTGTGATGAAGAAAGATACTGAAATGAAACAGAAGAAAATTTAATCTGAATTAAACTCTGTTATTTTCTAGAGCAAAAAAGCATCATAAGACAGGGAGGAATTTTACCCACGTTGAATGTTTCCACAGTGAAAGGAATCCAAAATTTCAGGCACATAATCACAAGTTTTCATAATGCAGTGAGTTTATGTACATCTGCTTAGCACCAGTCACTGACTTTGTGCCTACTCTTAGGTTTAAGCTTACACTTTGCCATTTGGTGTAAACTAGATATATACATGCTGAGCCATTGTAGCTTAACTGACTTCTGGTGAATTTTTAAGGAGAAAGGGAAAAAAACCATTAGATTTAACTATTGCAGCACCAATTCTAGTCATGAAACATCCAAATGAGGCAGTTTCTTTCCTCAGAACAAAAGTTCCTGCATTTTGTACTGTGTGATTTAAAAAGTTGGACTTCACAGTAGCAAGCCTTTAAAAAAAAAAAAAAAGGATAGTGAAAGTAAGATTTTTGAAAGTGTGGAGAAAGATTCCAACAGAAGCTGGGTGAGATGATTTCTAGGACGGTAATTTCCTGTTGGAGGAACGAATATTTTGTCGTTGTAAATATTTACCACCTAAGATGGTAAAGAGCTAAGATTGTCTTGCTTTTAATTAAGCTCTGTCTACTAATACTGACATTGTAGCATGTGCACACTTTGGCAACCTAACCAATGACTCATGTTTATACAGTAACTTAATACTGAATAGTTATGATATTTGACTTGAGACCAGAAAAGTCATGATTTTAATACCTGATTTTACAGGGCCATGGCAAGTGACCAAAGTGTGTTGAAATTGTGGTCCTGTTACAGGTTTGCAAATCCATCTCCTTGGAATTCTCTACCTACTGGTGCTTAAAATTCAGATGCTGTCACTATGATCAACAGTGTACTAAAATTAAAGAAGTAAAAGGATAATATATATTTTCTCTTTTGTTTAGGCTGCAAAATTTGGACATCCAATGGGATTAAATCAGGCTCCTCCCCCACGTTCTTCTGTTCGAAGATCATTTGGAAGATCTAAGCGATTTAGTATTACTCGTTCTCTGGATGACCTTGAGGTAATTAACTTTCACTTAAAACTTAGAAGTGAGTCCTAGAGAGGAACTTACAGTAGTTAATGCTGATCATTAACAAAGTAAGTAATGTCTGTAGTGTAATAAAGGTACTAATCATCATACGACATTTATGTGAGGGGAATAGAGATTTCAGGTATCACCTGACTTATTCATTGTCTCTTTAATAGTTTACATTGATACCAGCAGTGGCCATTCTTCCTGTGGGAAGTTTTGACTTTATTTTAATCATCACAGCTGGTCATATAAGGCAAAACAACATGATTTTGCTGCTCAAAATGTCCATCAATCATTGTATCATGATATATAAAAATTAAATGCTCATCATACTCTTTTTTTCATTCAGCTGATGATCATTGCATTGGGAAAATTTTGAGGGGTTAAATTTGCTACTGGAACAGTCTCTTTATATAACTTCTTAAGGAATGTAGCTTACTGAGTATGGAAAAGTTTTTAAAAATACTTAAATAGGTTTTTCTTCCTTATATGTCAGCAGTTGAGAAAAGGGAATTCCTAATCAACTTGCTGTTGGTCATTGGTTCTGTTGAGTTTGGATCTTGCTGAGTGTAATATTAATCCTATTTCACATCTGGTAAAACATTAGCGTATGCCTAGGCCTCAGGGGCCAAACCTTATTGATTTTGGTGAATACAAGGAATTAAAAGCCATCTGAATTTAAAAAGCTGTTCCTCCTGCTCTGCTGAGAGCATCTCTCAACCAGCTGTAGGAGTATGGCTTCACTTCATTGTCTCTTGTAGTGTGCTTCCTTGGGAAAACCTGACCCATAGTGATGTGAGGTGAATGGAGAGATTTTTCCCTGACCCCTTTCTCAAGCTTATCTGGAAGAAGGTTTGTGGTTGGAGAGAAAAATGTGTGCAGGGCTCTTGGCATAGGAGCCATGTAATACATATTGTAGCGCTCTTCAGCATGGGAGGGAATGTGGCACACAGATTCCTCTAAATGGGAAGGAGGTGTTTGAGAAGCATTTGAGATAGGAGGGGGAAAGAAGGAGATATTCTGAGTTTCCTGCTGTGGGAAAATGTAGGAAGAACAGCTTTTCACTGACTCCGAACTAAAGGAGAGGGGAGCTCAGTGCGCTGGATTTTTAGGGAAGAGAATATATGGAAGGAGCTTCTGGCATGCTTAGGGAATGCAGGTAGGAACTGTAATTACTCATTTCTCAGATGTTTTAAGGCCATTTTTCATTGTGGTCTATTTCTATCTTGTTTGAAGCTTTTAAGTATCTTGCTTTTTTATAGTAATGGAAAATACTTTTTAATTTCTTTGCACTCAGAACTTTAATACAGTAAGTGCATAACTTAAACAGAGCAAGATCCTCTGGATAAAGCTGTTTGGGAACCGTCTAGCTACATCCTTCTTAATCAGAAAATGGTGATTCTTCTAAATTAAAAAAACTTGCTACTATATATTGCCAGTTTTAACAATTTCTGGTCACAGTAAGAGAGAATCCCTTCAGAATATCTAAGAGCTTAGTGTTATTAATTCATGTACAATAGGAAAAACATGGTTCATTCCACATTCTTCCAGATTGAAATTTCATCTAGATTTATGTCCACATCTCCTATTTTGAGGAAGGGTTTTAAACACCAAGGATATAATTTGATTTCTGTTGTTGGAGCTGTTTTGCATTGCATAAATATTCATTAAAATAGGGACTTGGTACTTCCATTAATTTCAGAAAGATGTCATAGTTACTGGCCTAAAAAGTAATTTTTTATCTCATTATGTCTTAGTTGGTATTCGTTAGTGTATATAAATTGAGTAGCACCAACAGGAGGGATCGAGGCTCTCTGTGTTACTCAATGTCCTAATTGTAACAGCTGTTACTTTGGATGGGGAAACTTACAATTCTAGGTCACGATATGAATTGCACAAAGAAACAATTGGTATTAAAATCTGTATTTGGATGAATGCCCTTACTACATGTAGCTATTTGGGTGTGGACTGCTCTCTGTCTTTTCACTTTGAAATCTCTTTTTTTCCCCTCTGCATGCTGTAAGAGAATTATATCCTAGCCACCAGGAGAAATACCAGAGAAGAATTTCAAAAACCTTATAAATCAAAGTAAAATAGTGTTGAGGTGTTTTGATTTCGGTTCTAACTTTAATGTTGCTACTGCAGCACTTTTCCCAAGTACTGTTACACTAAGTGTAGTAGAACACAACGTTGTTAGTACATGTTTAGATTATTTCAGGCCATCTATTTAGAGCTGCTGGAAGAGGAAATAACAATACCAGGAAATTCTTAGAGACTCCACCTTTGGAATAATGATAATGAACATATTATATAGCTACTTGGTTGCTTTTGTGTTCTTTCCAGTTACCTTAGCAGAGTGGGTAAGGTACTAACTCAAACA